AGATCGAGAAGCTGAAGATGCAGGAGCGCAAGAAAGACTTCAAGATGATCAAGATGGAACGTATGAATAAGATGCAGCAAAACGTCCTGAGGCGGAAAATTGAAGAAGCTTCTTCTGTCAACAAGCGTCTCAAGGTGCGATCACTTGTGGCTTCAGCGGCCTAATTTAGACGTTGTTCGCATCTCGGCCACTAAATTTGTAAAAAAAATTCAGATTTCCCTACAGAGTGTATTTTATTGATTTTTTTCACAATAATACTGTAGATACTTTATAATTGAAGAAAAACTTCACCAATGGTGGCGCGCACGCGCATGAGGGCATTGGAGAGCGTCTCATTGGAGACGTTTTGTTTGTAATTGTGAGAAACATTCTTCATTAATTTGTCACTGAGATGCGCTGTAGGATTTATATGATTAAAAATATATCCACGCTATAATTAGTAGTTGTTAATGGCAGAAAATTTGCTATCAATCGCTTTTGGTGCTAACACAGTGGAGAAGTTCGTACAAAAAATTTGCACTGCTCGTTTTCTACTGTGAAATTCCCGGTAGCATACCTAAATATTTTTATCTCTCAAGAGTATGCCATTGTCTTATTTTTTGCCATGACAATGTAGCCACTGCAAATATCGCGTTCATCTTCTTGGGACAGCATCGCAATCAGCAAATTTTTATGCCCCCAGGATGCCCTGGAGCTACAAAAGGTATGCTCGGAGAAGAGGGCAACGGCCAACTTAGCTAACCGGCAGCAGCGTCTCAAGAACTGGCTTGAGAGCGAGCTTGAGTTGGTCTCCGTCAAGCATCAAGCAAAACAAAGTCTCGAATCCCTTAGAGAAGATCGTAAATTCATTGGCAGTAAGTATCGTCAAGGTTCCCGCCAGAAAGTAGGTAAGTATACGCGATACCTCAGTAGAAGATCTCGATGGCTCAAGCTCCCCTTGAACGAGTTCATCGGTAAATGCTTAGGTTCAGATAATACGTGCTATGTAAGGAAATTTCTGCGCTATTGACTTTTTTTCTTCCATCAGTCTGTTTCCTTTTGAAATCTATACTTTTAATTATTTGTTTTCGTAGCCACATTCACATTAATGATAGTCAGACGTTTGACTAACGATTTTATTTTTAATTTATCCTCTACTTATAAAGTTAGTGGAAACATACCACTCCTGTCGTTTCTTGTTCTTCTCGAGCGGCTCGGGAAAATTTTTATCAAAATTATCGAATGTGTTTCCTAACTTTTCTTTGCAACTCTAGCCTTTGATGGCTATTGCATTATTCACTTGAGTTCCATTAATTTCATCACTCACAATTCTGAACTTTCAATACTAAAATGAACTAGAATATATTTTTTAATACTAAAAGGTTACAAAATGAGTTTAAAAGCATGCTTTTTCTTAAGTAGTAATTTTTATATTATTGTAGGTATTGTTTCATTTGAATATCTCAGGCGCGACACTACTTTAACGTGGATTTTTGACTCAGGACATAGTAACAAATGAGACGATTATTATGCATTTTTTCCAGCAGTTTCTTAATGATGGGCTTTCATTTACACTTATGTATTCACGTTACAGACAAGCTGACGAAAGTAGAGCAGCAGTTGCAACATAACGACCTCAGTGAAGAGTTCAGGACGGAGCTCCTGAACAAGCAGAAAGATCTCAGCACAGATCTGCAGCTGCGCACCGCTCAGATCAACGAACTACAGCAGAAGGTCCTCGAGGGCGACGGAGAGTCCTTGCTTGGTGGGTGCCAGTGTGAACCTTTCTTACGCAAGCGTGGGTCTGTATTATAAATTTAGCCTTACGCTTGTAGGTCTGTGCAGACTAAGCCTTACGCTTGGGGGTTAGTATAGACTAAGGTTGAACCCATTAGATTGGTGAATGAATGGGACACTTGTGTTCAGCAGTGTGCGAAGAATTTGCTACAAATATCAATTGAATGTGTTACAAGTACAATGTTAGAAAATCATACTTCTGTAACAGGAAAAATGTTTTGAGAGTAGATGTAGTACTCCTGCCCAAGTTTTTGTACGATTTATTCAATTATACTCCCGCTGCGACGTCCTTTGCTTCGTTACCTCGTGCAGCTCGAGTATCCTGCTCACTTCTATCATTATAAATGCATGAGAAGATAAACAGTTGTACTTCTCCATGTTTATGTACCACTTGTTATTTTTTAATCTTTTGTACCTTCATTAAACAATTCAATTTATTTGGACACTGACAAATATGAAGGCCGTGAGGCATTAGTTTCGGGTTTGATTTAGACATTGTTTTCGAACGGAAATTACAAGATTGTACTATAAACTATATAAGTGCTATATGTGCTGGAAAGTGTGGTTTTCTTCATCCGTTTTATATTTGGTTTTATCTCTTTAATAGTTCAAGAAATGATCCCGAAACTTGATGGAACTGGAGAATTGTTATTGAATATACGTTTGAACAGAACGGAAGCGGTTTGAAGGCCTGCAAGGCATGAGCGAGACGAAGGCGGCGCTGACGATGCTCTTCAACACAGCGGTGCAACACAAGGCTCAATGCGCCTCTTCCCAGCAAGAGCTCCAAGAGCTACAGGTATTAAAATATATATAACTCGGTACTTACTGCAGTGAGTGACAGAGCGCAGTTTCACGGCGACGAAAACGTGAAGTCACGGAAGGACAGACAGACGAACGGACGGACATGGAGAGCACAATAGCGCATTTTTTCCATAAATGAGAAAATGCGCTAAAAACACTGCATGAGAGTTATTTATACGCTCTAAAGTCCTTGGTTCGTGTACCTCGGATCACTTAAAATAATATGACTCGACAGAATACTGGTTCAGTTACTCAGTCAAATCAAGGATTATTTTTCAGCACTATAGGGCCAGTTTTTGGTCAAGGTATTTAGCTATGCAATACTTAACAATTGGTACGTATAAGTGAGTATCTAAGTTTATTTATCGGTTGTGGGCTGATTTGGTGTTATCGTTTTGGCTACGGCTGCTTCTTGTTTCCTCATTTCGCTCGATTAAAATTCATGTAAGTAAAAGTAATGCCGTC